TGGTATCATAAAAGTAGGACAATACTCATTCTAATCATTTTATGTCAACATTTTTTGAATAATTAATTTTAAATAATTATACAAAATTATATAATTAGGCCTATTAATCAATTGACAATTCTAACAAAAAGTTCATCACTACTTACGCAACATCTGTCTCACAGACAAATCTGAAAACGTGTCCGCACGGTTCATCGGCCCATCTACCATGATACCTGTCCCATAATGCAACACAATTTGCATCTGTATGCTGATTTGGCTCACCCGGAGAAAAGTCATTCACAGTTATGGTCTGCATGTTAGAGGAATAGATCCAGCGATCTTCTTCTATCAAGTCAGAAATTCCGATCCAATAGAAACTGGAGTCATCTGGAAATACGTCAAATGAAAATTCAAAGAGCAAAGGCCACTTTGGGCCTTATTTGGCTCTGAGAATTTCTGAAAAATCAAAACCGCTCTGTTTAGGTTGCAAATGCAGTCTTTATTACTTGGAGTGTTTGTGACCGCGTATTTATTAGTCATGACGTAATTTTCTCTCTTGTCAATGCATTATGACGTCATAAAATGCGTCACTTTCCTTTTCTTTTGAAAATAGCCTAAAGTTGAAGTATTTTTTCAATATTTTATATAGAGTACAACCTCTCATCCAAAATATGAAAATTCATAATGAAAGATCTGTTTCGGAAGATCAAAAGACATGTTTTATTATTTTTTCGTGGGTTGTGCTCATATTTTTATTCTTTGCTGAAGGTAGTCAAAAACGTTTTCGGCAAATTTCAAGAACATTGCAATTTCTTAAAGCCTGTTTTCCAATATCTGGATTATCTAAAAAAAAAATTATTGTAGGAAATGAAAGCACCAAGCGTCTACTTTATTTTGATATATGGAGTGGGAAAGAGGGTGATAGTTGATTAATTGATATAAGTAAAGGGACATTTTATGCATAAAGTGAACCTAGCTTTTTATTAAAAGTAAAATGTTTAGTCGAATATGTGTTATCATTAACCTTAAATGATATCAGTTCGACAATTTTTTAAAGACTGTTTTAGTTTGAATGCTTTAGAATCGCCATGTAGGGAGTTTATCCTTACATCGCAGGTTCGAATCCTACTTCTGGACGTGGAGGCCAGTCCTTTTGAGGTCCCATATCATATAAGGGATGGTACGAAAAAGATTTTCAATGGTCAAAGACCATGAGTGCCGAGTACGGGATAAAATGTGCAGCTCTACACCAGGAAGTGGTGGCGTCTCCAAATGAGTGAAAAATTCTAGAAAAGAACGTAAAACAACAGACAAACAAAAACAAATCCAGTAATCTATCAATTCTGCGCAACGAGTAACGTATCAGAAACCTTTGGCTAGCTATAGCGAAGATAAAATTATGCATTTTCATTATACATGTATGATTATAGAGCCCTACCCTTACTTTCATACTTTTGACAAATGATTCAGTGCTTTTTACAATCATGCCAACAGTTTAAATTTTTGATACTCTAAGTGAAGAAGAGTTTTAATATTACAATTTTGAAGGATTTAGTTTCATTCTTTAGTCCTTTGCAAGGGAAGGGAGGTCATGAAATTCATAAATTTTTATTCCTCTTCACACAAACATGCTATGCTGAAATTGGTTAAGTGGTTTCAGAAAAGAAGATAAAATGTTCAAATTTAACACACGACGGACGACGAGAAACAGATAGCAAAAGGTCACCTGATGGCCATAAATAGAGATAAAGGTACTACATATATTTCACAGGCGTTCTATCTGGGGAAAAGAAATACTGCTTTACTTACGAAGACTTTGAAAATGGCTGATGAGAAAAGATGATTCAGCACTAGTCCTGGGTTCCGCCAGTTTGGAATGAAATCCAGCACATATAGCCTAAAGAATATATTTCATCAGAAAATAGAAAACCTCTCGTAAGATTAAAAGTTCTGTTCAGCAAACACGGACCTCCGAAATAACAGAGGTGGATTCAGGTGCCATGGAGGAGTGAGCATCCCCTGCTGACCGGTCAAACCCGCCGTGTGCTCCTTGTCATGATCAGGAAATAATGGAAAATCCATCGTCAATCCAGTGTGTAAATAATGGACTAACAATTTATCTGAAAAACATCAGTCAGCATTGACTCAACAATGAATTGTATTTGCTTACAAGGTCCTATCGACCATAGAACTTACGAAATGATGGCTTTTAAAGAGACAGTTGATATTCTTGTTTCATCACCTTGTTTGTCAATGATTAACCTCGTTTTGGAAATTGTTCATACGTAGAGCATGCTCTTGCGTATCGAATCAAGTGAGATAAATTATATAAACTCCGTGTGCAAGTTATGATGGTATATTGCTGCATAAGTAAGGGGAATTCACGATTGTAAAGTTCAGGCCTGGGGGCCATATAACTTAGACGAGCTCACTTTTGATCTCACTTTCACTTTTCCCCTATTAATTCCTTTGGAAAAAGTGAGCCTGAGATCAAAAGTGAGCTCGTCTAAGTTTTATGGCCCCCAGGCCAAGTCATCACGTTTATCTTAGAGTTTGGTTGTAAGATTACCATTAACGTCTTTTTCAGGTAAAATATCAAAATATGGTAAAATAATATTTTAATTAATATACGAAACAAACTATCAGAATTTACAGAACAAGACAGCCAGATGACTTTACACTTTGTATTATAAGAGATTGTACTCGTTTATTTGCATACCTCCGCCTCTCCCCACGGCCTAGCAGTATGACTGAACCAATAGCATTTATTCGGAAACTGATTCCAACCAGGCTGACAGTTTAAACCTACAATTATCGTTTTCTTAAATGTAAATAGTTTCTTTAAGAACGAACAAGATGTGTTTGTAAAACACTGATGCCCCTGTATGGCAACATATCAAAGATTAAGCTTTTCTTAAAGGCAAATTTAATTAATTGGTACCAAAAGTAGGGTATTCTCACTGGAAAACAATTGTGAAATTTAAAAGTAAGCTAATGTTAAAGTTTTTTAATAAGTACAAAAATCTCCAAGGTCAAGGTCAAAAGGTCAATGTAATTAGTCTCAAATGAAAGGTCTTGCCAAATTAAATACGTATTTAGAGCATGAAAGCCCTAGCCCTAACCGTTCAGAAGTTATGATCAACGTTTAATTTCTTAAAAAGTAGGTCAGACTCCAAGGTCAAGGTCAAAGGGTCAAAGTTATTGTTATCAAATGAAAGGTCTTGTCATAAGAATTGAATATGTAAAGTATGAAAGCACTAGCCATAACTCTTTAAAAGTTATGGTTAAGGTTTGCTTTTTTAAAGTAGGTCAATCTCAAAGGTCAAGATTAAAGGGTCAAAGTTCTTGGTATTTAATGAAGGGTCTTCTCACAAGGATTACATATATGAAGTATGAAAGCCCTACCCCTCACCGTTCAAAAGTTATGGCCAAGGTTAAAGTTTTTTCACAAGTACGAAAATCTACAAGGTCAAGGTCAAAGGGTCAAGGTTGTTGGTATCCAGTTAAAGGTCTTTTAACAAACATTACATATGTGAAGTATAAATGTTCTGATGTCGACTGTTCAAAAGATATGGACAAAGTAAAATTTTAAAATTTTCACGTTAAAGTGGGTCAAACTCCAAGGTCAAAAGATCAAATTTGGTGGTACCCAAAGAAAGGTCTTGTCACAAGGAATACACATATGAAATATGACAGTCATAGCTCCACTAAATCAAAAGTTATGGGCAAAGTTAAAGATTTTGCGGACAAACAGACAAACAGAGAGACAGACAGACAGACAGACAGACACGACAAAAACTATATGCCCCCGAAACTTTGTTTACGGGGGCATAAAAACAGGTAAATATCGATAACTGCTTGATGACAAGCGCTACTTTCAGAAGATCACGTGATCTAGGAAGGTGGCCAAATATTTCAGATCTTGATCGGCATCGAAAATATGTTACATTAATGTGTTTAGAATATATACAGCAAAATCTATAATTTTACACCTTTTTTATTCAAAGTCCAAGGACAAATAATATGATCACTTATTGTTTTACAAGCAGAAATGTAAAAAAAAAAAAACAAGATGTGTTTGTAAAACACTGATGCCCCCGTATGGCAACATAGCAAAGATTAAGCTTTTCTTAAATGCAAATTTAATTAATTGGTACCAAAAGTAGGGTATTCTCACTGGAAAACAATTGTGAAATTTGAAAGTAACCTAATGTTAGAGTTTTTTAATAATTACGAAAATCCCCAAGGTCAAGGTCAAAAGGTCAATGTAATTAGTATCAAATGAAAGGTCTTGCCACATAAAATAGTTTTGTAGAGCATGAAAGCCCTAGCCCTAACCGTTCAGAAGGTATGGTCAACGTTCAATTTCTTAAAAAGTAGGTCAAACTCCAAGGTCAAGGTCAAAGGGTCAAAGTTATTGTTATCAAATGGAAGGTCTTGTCATAATGATCAAATATGTAAAGTATGAAAGCACTAGCCCTAACTCTTTAAAAGTTATTGTCAATGTTTGCTTTTTTAAAGTAGGTCAATCTCAAAGGTCAAACTCAAAGGGTCAAAGTTTTTGGTATCCAATGAAGGGTCTTCTCACAAGAATTACATGTATAAGGTATGAAAGCCCTATCCCTTACCGTTCAAAAGTTATGGCTAAGGTTAAAGTTTTTTCTAGAGATGGCAATCGAATGCAGAATTGCTAATAGGTTAATCGTAAGACGTTCCGACCGATTAACCGGTTAACCGTATCAATATACTTTCTAGATTTTTTTCAAAGTACAATGTAACTATGTCGTATGTACAAAGAAAAACTATCAAAGATAATTGACGTTCATAACATTCCATTTGTCTTGATTTTGAATAAGAAAAAAAATTGTTTTTAAATTTCACTTTCGATATCATTTAGAAAAAAAGACTGAAAAAATCCCCAAGCTAATTTATAGAGCAGATGTCATGCAAGGTAAAATTATAACAATTATAGAAAAATATTTTGAACTGTAGCTCTTAATTTACAATTTCTAATAATTTAATTAGATAAAGAACTAAATACGACAATATTTCCAGTTCACATTGCTCTCATTAATTATCTAATTATAAATCGTTAAAGAAATATTGGGCGGACTGGGTAACGGCTTGGTGTTTGTATAATAATTAACGCTACGTAAACTGACCAATTACCCCCATGACCTCAATCAAATGAAATCAGGAGAACCATAATTATCTTCTATAAGTTTGGATAGTTTGTTAAACGCTAAATTTTCAATCCTATGTGCAGTGATCTCTCTCTTTTTTTTTAATGAATTTTAGGAGAATTAGGTTCAATTTTATTTTTTTTCGACTAACCGATTACAAATTTTCTAACCGATTGCCATCGTTCCGACCGAGTAATCGGTTAATCGGTTACAAATTGCCATCCCTAGTTTTTTCACAAGTAAGGAAATCTACAAGGTCAAGGTCAAAGGGTCAAAGTTATTGGTATCCAGTGAAAGGTCTTTTAACAAACATTTTATATGTGAAGTATTAATGTCCTGGTGTCTACTGTTCAAAAGATATGGCCAAAGTAAAATTTTAAAATTTTCATGTAAAAGTGGGTCAAACTCCAAGGTCAAGGTCAAAAGGTCAAATTTGGTGGTACCCAAAGAAAGGTCTTGTCATAAGGATCAAATATGTAAAGAATAAAAGCACTGGCCCTAACTCTTTAAAAGTTATGGTCAAAGTTTGCTTTTTTTAAGTAGGTCAATCTCAAAGGTCAAGGTCAAAGGGTCAAAGTTCTTGGTATCCAATGTAAATTCTTTTCACAAGGATTACATGTATGAAGTATGAAAGCCCCATCCTATACTGTACAAAAGTTATGGCCAAGGTTAAAGTTTTTTTACAAGTAAGGAAATCTACAAGATCAAGGTCAAAGGGTCAAAGTTATTGGTATCCAGTGATAGGTCTTTCCACAAACATTAAATATGTGAAGTATAAATGTCCTGGTGTTTACTGTTCAAAAGATATGGCTAAAGTAAAATTTTAAAATTTTCATGTAAAAGTGGGTCAAACTCCAAGGTCAAGGTCAAAAGGTCAAATTGGGTGGTAACCAAAGAAAGGTCTTGTCACAAGGAATACACATATGAAATATGAAAGTCATAGCTCCACTAAATCAAAAGTTATGGGCAAGGTTTTTGCGGACAAACAGACAAACAGAGAGACAGACAGACAGACAGACAGACACGACAAAAACTATATGCCCCCGAAACTTTGTTTACGGGGACATAAAAATGCATTTTACTTCTAGCCATTTTAGCAAGTGCCAAGTGCGATTAAAGTAGTCTCAATCCTTCTAACCTTACGCTTTGCTTTATTCATCGAGTTATATTTAGTACATGTTTGAGATAAAAAGAGTTAGCTAATGATAATTGATAATTATAGTAAATATTATTTTACTTACAATTTGCACTTTCAAGACCACAAAGTACAAAACCAAGAGATAAAATACTGATTAACTGCATGTTGCACAGTTGTAGAAAATGAAAAGAGAGCGAAATTATCTCGGCATAGATTTGATAAGACAAACATGTTAAAAGGACGAATGTTATGAGATAAGAGTTCAAAAATGATAAGAAAGAAAGAATTGGTAGTCTTATCAAGCTGGGTATATGAATATTTTGACCTATAAATATTTTGAGAACACTTTGTTTTGCATACATCACAATTGGTACCTGAGTTTTTTCAGAAGAAATGGTTTCTCCATTACATATGTACATGCGCAAAGGTCAATGGGTTCAAATTCCTCTAAAATTACCGGTAAATAGTGACCTATCTGCATGTAGTCTATCTGAATGAAATATTTCTTAATAGGCCTAAAACAACATACATGTACATTTGTTTGATTTGTTTGCCCAGAGGGTACCATTTCACATATTTTTTTAACTGTCTTTACTTAGAAGCACGTGCCACCACTAACTGTATTTATCTGTACCTCTTCATGCTCAATCATCACCGAACTGTATTTGTACATAATAGTATTTTAAGAGACAAGAGATGTTTGTAAAACACTCATGCTCCCCTCCCCCCAATTAATTGGAATTCTTCTAAGTCCAAGTTGCAAAACTTTTTCAAAAATGACCCAATTGTAACCAAAACAAAACTTGACCTAGATATTCTGATGTAAAATCTGTATACAAAATTTCATTTCAGTATGTGCAACCGCTACAAAGAAAATGAACGGGAATAATTGGAATTTTTCTAAGCCCAAGACTGTAACCAAAACATAATTTGACCTAGATATTCTTAGTATAAATATGTATACCAAATTTCATTTCAGTAAATGCAACGGTTTAAAAAAAATGAAAGGAAACTGATTGTAGACAGACAGACAAATTGACAGACAAAAGCAAAGCAAATACCCACCCTTCATCGAAGAGGGCATAAAAATCCCATTCATTTATACAATTAACTAATTTACGCTCTAACTAGCCTTAGCTAGATCAAATTAATATGTAGCAACTGTTCCTTCGCAGAGCGCTTGGCATAAAGACGTAAAAAACGAAATTCCGTGGCACGACAAAAATAACTTCACTGCTCAATGGCGCGGAGTTCCGGGTAAAGGTTAAAATTGAAGCTCTTCACTGGTATATTATGTTAACATTTCTTTATGCGTGAAAATTTCTCGAATGAGACGTAAAACAAAAAACAGTCCACCAGATTACGACCATATAACTACATTAATCTATATAGCATAGTTCTATTTATTTTGCCTCTGCTTTGGTTTTTTATTGACGGGAATCTCCGTAACACTCGGTAGTACTCATATCTCACTAAAAAAAAGTGAATGACTTTCAGAGGTTGCCGGAGCATTTTTACTAAATGTCGCGCTGCCTCCCATTTCTCGTTTTGATCGGATAACTATATACAGGAAAACATGTTTGTTTAATGTCGTCTTGTTCAGGAATAGACGCCACCACTTGCTGGTGGAGAGCTATACTCGGCATTCAGGGACCTTGAGCAGTGAGGCATCTTTTTCA